TGTTCAGTGTGAAGTACATACATCCAAAAAAGCACTCCAACATGTTCTCGCTTGCCTCCTTAGTTTCAGAATGTCCATCCGTGTCTACCTTCAATAATTGCCGGAGGTAGACATACTTTACTTTGTTTTACAGATGTCTCCAACATTTGATTTCCATTTGTTCAAGAAGCTTCTTATAGACATACAATATATTTTGTTTTTCTCATCTTTGCTTTATTGCGAAACTATGCCATCAACACATCTGAAATGGTTAATACTTTTTCGATTATGTTTAAACTGCACCTCTATTTCTCCAATACATTTTTGGAGAGAAAAACACATCTAACATTGTGTTTAGATCTCGAAAGCAAACTATTTCGTACAGCATAGTAAAAAAGAAAATCGGATGAAGAGGAGGATGCTCTACGCATTACACTTTAAGTCGTCAACTCTGCCCTTCACAATATGAAAATTAAAATAAGAAGATTCGGCATCAGATGTAATCACTTTAGACTTCAAATGAGCAGGACCAGCTCTTGGATTAAAATTCGGGAACTTATTTATCAAATTATTCGTGCAATGACGCTTCAGCCATTAAGTTGAAATCAGAAGGATATTTCGTGACAGACGATTGTTTCCCCTCAAAATTGGAGTGGGATAAGTATTATTAATTGGAAAGCAAATTAATTCCTATTGCAGCTACATGGCAGATGTAGTCTTATGTGATAAAGACTACATCTGTGCGAATCTGATCAACATAAGACTGAATCTGACTGAATCTGTAGTGTCCACACGAGTCTCATTTAACAAGTAGTTTGGTATTCTTGGTTCTTTCGGTAAAGTCACGTAGATCACACCTGATGATGATTGCTTGTGTTGCAGTCGAAACATCGTGAGAATTGTATTGGTTTTTGTATTTTATTTTATTATTTCCCTTCAACGTGACTTTACCGAAAGAACCAAGAACATTAATTCCTGCAGTCACGAAAGCTTTAAATCAAAAGTAGTTTGGTGTTAAAAAATATTACTAGCACGCATTTGTGTATGGGACTGGCACGTTAAATTGCAGCTGCTTGTCAATATCAGAGACAGTGCCATATTCCACATGACAACCTTTAAATATTTCCTAGGTCCGATGAGTGCATTAAATACAATGTCTTTAGCTCCCCCCGAGATTGTATATACTTCAGAGAACTATTCAATGAACAATTACAAGTGCTTTATTATTTAAGTTGTTGTTCATAAGTGTGTTGAGGTTATTATCATTTAGTTATTAGATTGTACAGAGTTACTGCAAATGTGTCAAAACATGGTTATGAGCTGTTACCAATCATAGGTATTGTAAGTTTGCGGTTCACTTCAAAATTGGCTTTAAAACAATGAGTAAAGATTACCAAATAAGTACAGACAAGATGTATAAAATACAAGTAAAGTAGTGTACAGTACAAATGCCGGGCCAATAAAATAATTCCCTATCAACTTGTACCCAAATACTGCTGGATGACCACCACAACACGAACACGACTGAATATCTAGGAGCCAATAGACATGACTAAAAACTGCACACCAGTAAATAAAAACAAATGAATGCACAAAATAGTTAGCATCGAGTGTATACGGGTCTGTGGCACAGTGATACAATACAGTAGAACAAAACCTGAGTATAAGAATATGCACACTCATCTCTGACCTGATCGGTGACCGTGAAGATTCCTAAGCTACGTACAACGTGTTACTACCACCACCGCATGCCATCTGACAGGCACGAGGGATTGGCTGTGACATCATTCACTAAAATACACACACACACAACACTGTAAATTGAAAAAGTACCCAACCAAATGATAAAAAGTACTGCACCATGAAAACTTTCCTGGTCTACTTCATAAAGGAGCGAGGTTCGTGCTGTGAAACCTCATGTGGTTGACTATGGATATTATTTGGGTCTTTTGGTAAAGCCACGTAGATAGAACAGATTATACAAATAATAACAATATCACTGTGATATTGTGTGATATAAATGTGATTGTTATTATTTGTATTATTTGTTCTATTTACGTGGCTTTACCTAAAGCTTTAGGTTAAGATGTTAGACTATGGATGGTAAAAACGAATTTAATTCGTAAAAAAGTGGCACCAGAAAAAAACCAGCCATACAAGGCCAGGGTTTAATGTGATTATATTACCAATGGTTTTACTACAATGACAATTGAACAATAAAACAGCTGTTGAAATATTGCAGTTGCTTTCTTTGATTTTACAACAAACACTGGGTGATTCCGGTTGGAACTTTACTGAAACATACTCCTCTTTGGTTCTTTCGGTAAAGTCACGTAGGTATACAATAAAATAAGCAGATACGTTAGAAAAAAAACAGTTCTAGATAATAAATTACTTGTTGGCAAGCAAATAATAACTTTGTGTTACATATTTTTTTGGTCAATCGACAGATGGACCAAGGCCTCCTCAAGCCACATACTTCACACTGGTCAGTACGAGTTGGTGGAGGAGGGGGGGGGGGGAACGTGGCCTGGTTTAGATGTAATTCCCCACTGATGCAAGCCATAATCGGAAAACAGAACTCCAGAGAGCAAACCACTCAGTCACAGCTCCATCCCATATGTATATAAAAACTGTTTTTATCATTATATAATTTATTTATTTAGAAATTACTAGATTATATTAGCGGATAGGGTGCTGCCATGGTATAATAATTGCTAATACTGTAAGTGTGCTTTTTTATCTGTAATTGTGGAATGCTTTCATGTTGTCTGCCGGCCGAGTTGCCCTTGATAGAAAGCTTTTTGGCTCAATGGGCTTTACTCGGGAAACAAACTTCCGATTTGATTCCGATTCTGAAATTAGAATCACACACTGGACTTCCAATCCAGAGGTCGGCATTTCCATTCGATAGCCCAGTGCTACAGATGAAACAACGGGTACATTTCCATAATCCCACTGCCTATCCAGCTACAACAGTATAAATTGGTACACCGTGGTTAGTTGATGGGCATGTGTGGTGGGGTAAAGAGTGAGTACTGGACTCTTCCAAGACATCTGGCCAATGTAAATTGTGGTGCACGCTACAATCAGTAAAATACCTTCGTGAATGTTGGCACACGCTCTCTAGCAAATGCAAATTATTCGTTGCACATTGTATCAATGTATGAATTGCCAACATTAATAGGTAGTGTTTGAATGAGCAATATCATGGCTTCACTCGAAACCATGCAATTGGCCACTTTGGTGGCAAGCGTGTCAATTACTCTGGTATATATACACACACTTGACCAAATCAACCAAAATGCATCAGATATAACCAGATCTCAGAAGCCGAGCAGGTTTATGGCGAGGATAGTGCTGCAATATGCGATTCATAAAACAGGTGCTGCTGGTAGAGGCTGTTGCTGCAGCACGGGCTATGTTGCCAGCAGTGTTGGTGGTGGTGCTATGCTCTAACCGTCTATTTTGCCAGACTTTACAACCCGCACTGACACAGCGCAGTGCGGGTCAAATAACATCCATGACCCGAGTGGCGAGGGGAGGGCCCTCATCCAGCAGTGGAGTGGCAAATGTGATGTACATACACACAGTACTGTGCACAAACACTGCTTATATGGGTATAGGTTGAAATTATAATGAATGTTTCCAACACCTCAAGCGTATAAAGAAGAACTCTTTGAATCAGGATACAATGTTATGAATATCTACAGCACGTTTCCTTTCCATGACGGTTTACGTATTCCAGCAGTGACCGATTTATTCAGAAGACACCTCTGTGTTTCACAGAATATTTGGTGATGATGCTGCTGCTGGGTTGGTAGTGGTGCACAAGCACAATGCATAAAAAACACTCAACACTAATGTGGCCTTAAAAGAAAAAATATCGGCGATGTTTCGGGCAATGGACCTTCTTAATTGCACATTAAAATCGGTCGCAGACGTAATACATTAGATGTAGTAAAAATGTTTCAACTGATAGTTATTTCTCAGAGATGACTTCAGAAATAATTCCGTAAACATTTTAACTCATTATTTTTAATAAGCATTGCTAAAAAAGTTATATTTTGTGCTTATTTATATATTGCGTATACATACACTGCTTTAGCCAATAATGCAACAAATTACCTGTTACATCACTCCTACAAGATGCGCAGTGTGCAATTTGCATCGTGTATAAAATATCATTTCCAAACCACGAACTTTATCGTCACGCCATCCAATTATTTTTATGTAGTAAGCACGATAAAAATAAACAATTCATTTGGTGGACTGCTTGCCTAAAAACACAGCAGTAGTTGCGTATTATCGTGCCGATCGTTTATACACTACAATGTTAAAATGGAATGACATTTTTCATTCCAAATAGAGATAAGTCAGTAAAAAAAAATAACCAATGTAATAAAATAATATGGATATTCATGCGTGGGCGTTCCATAATTTTTAAATAAATTGGCAATCCTTAAACGCGCATCTTGGCTGTAATCACAGAGGGCTCAAAAGACGGGGACACCCAACGAACACCGACTGGATGTCTGTAAAAAAAGAGATTTAAAGCTCATCGGATTCCTCCAGTATAAATACATATTCTGATTCTGAACTCCTCCTAACACAAACCAAGAGGATTGATGGACGAGTCACTCGTTCCTTATTCGCCCGGTGTAGTTGGGTAACAACCACCACCACCACGATCAATAGAATTCCATGTCGTGCGAAGCCGGTTAAACAAGTTCACGGTAACAAACAAACACAAAAACACCCCACAAAGCCGAGCTTCCTCATTCACGTGCTGGACAGCACGACAAACCGAGGTACAAGCAGCGGCGTCTAAAACTGCAGGAGGGCTGCGTGGGGAGCCGGTTACCGATTTCGGAGGGCGAGACGAGAAACCTCGAACATGGGAAGACGCCACGAACCGCAAAAGTTGAAGCAAACAACAATCGATGGGGGAACGCGACAACAACAACAACAAGGGGCACACAAACATCCCAGGTCCAGAACTGGGACGTGTTGCAACGTACCATGGCCAGAGTGCAGTGGTGACCGCGGCGTGACCGCGGCGTGGCCGCTGCTGCTGCTGCTGGATGAGAGCGGTGGAAGAGGCAGCTCTGCTGGGGCTTTGCGCTGTATGCATCCAGAGAAGGAGCTCACCCACCCAATCTCTCTCTCTCTCAAGCCCGTCTCTGCCTGCTGCCACGACTCCTCTCGTCCCTCCCTACCCCGAAAACCTTAGAGGCTGGCGGCTGGCTTCAGTGGCTTTTTGATGCTGACCGGTCGAAGCTTCTCCTCCGCCCACTCCCGTCCACACACCCCCGTCCACAACGCACAACCAGACAACACACCCACCTACACCCACACACAACACACCCACCTACTCCCACACACAACACACAGACCTACACCCACACACAACACACCCACCTACACCCACACACAACACACCCACCTACACCCACACACAACACACCCACCTACTCCCACACACAACACACAGACCTACACCCACACACAACACACCCACCTACACCCACACACAACACACCCACCTACACCCACACACAACACACCCACCTACTCCCACACACAACACACCCACCTACTCCCACACACAACACACAGACCTACACCCACACACAACACACCCACCTACACCCACACACAACACACCCACCTACACCCACACACAACACACCCACCTACTCCCACACACAACACACAGACCTACACCCACACACAACACACCCACCTACTCCCACACACAACACACCCACCTACACCCACACACAACACACCCACCTACACCCACACACAACACACCCACCTACACCCACACACAACACACCCACCTACTCCCACACACAACACACCCACCTACTCCCACACACAACACACAGACCTACACCCACACACAACACACCCACCTACACCCACACACAACACACCCACCTACACCCACACAACACACCCACCTACACCCACACACAACACACCCACCTACACCCACACACAACACACCCACCTACACCCACACACAACACAACACTCCCCACAAGACACCCACCCACACATACACCCACAACGCACACACACACACAACACGCCAAAACACCCACGCCACTCACACCCACCCACAACACAACCACACACAAACCCAACACACCCGCCCACAAGACACCCACAAGACACACACACACCCGCAACACACTCACGCCCCCCCCCCCCCCACAAAGCACTCACCCACACACACACACACCCACGCCACTCACACCCACCCACAACACACCCACAACACACACCCCCACACAATACACACCCACCACTCACACCCACAACACACACCCCCACACACACACCCACGCCACTCACTCACACCCACAACACACACCACCACACAACACACACCCACCACTCACTCACACCCACAACACACACCCCCACACAACACACACCCACCACTCACTCACACCCAGAACACACCCCCCCCCCCACACACCACCACACAACACACACCCACCAATCACTCACACCCACAACACACCCACAACACACACCACCACACAACACACACCCACCACTCACTCACACCCACAGCGCACCCAGGAGGACCCCACCCCGGGCTAGAGAACCGCGCACTGCCTACGACGACGACACCGACGGCACCGGCACCACGCGTGCAACAGCCCTGGGCTTGAAGCGCACCGAGCTTGGCACCAGACCACAAGCGGTGTGTGAGCAGGAGGTGGTGACTTCGGTGGCGATGGGTTTGGTGTGCGGTGGGGGGTGGGTGTGTTGGAAGAACACAAACCCAGCGAGACTCTCGTGGGTAGAGAGAGAGAGAGAGGGGAGAGCGCTTGGAGGTGCAGTGGAGGAAGGGGTGGGGTGGGGAGATGGAACGCGCGGGGCTTTACTTGATCAGCGGAGCTCTGTGCTGCTGGTGGTTGTGGTTGCTGCTGCTGGTGGTGGAAGGGGTGGAGGGGGAGACCATGAGGCACCCTGCAACGGGCAACCGAGACCCGCCGACGCCGACGAATGAGAAGAAGAGCGACAAGAAGGCGACCGCTTCCAATGACGCCAAAGCGTCTGTCACGCACGCCCGAGGGTGACCCGGGTTGGAGGGAGGGAGGGGCGCGCCGGCGACTGATAAAACATTCGGAGTGTAATTGAACACTTCCGATTTATCATTAACCGCGGTATATAAAGCGGGGAGTTACAAACGGCAGGTGGGGTGGGTTGGGGGTGGGTTGGGGGTGGGTTGGGGGTGGGTTGGTGGGTGGTGGGTGGGTTGGTGGGTGGTGGGGGAATTGCAGCGCGCGTTGTGCGCGGAAGCCCCCCCAGTGGTGCCCCGTGCCTGTGAGGTCTGTCACCTTGAGTTGCGTGAAGGTCAGTGCCGCACGTACAGTGCCTCTACTCTTAACCATGGAGCTGCTGCTGCTGATGCTACTGCTGCTGCTGCTGATGGTGGTGGTGGCGGTGTTGGTGCACGCCTCTTTCCCCAATAAACAAAGCGAACCCGCTTCACTGCCACCTCCTAAATATAGTGCCACTGTGATGACGCGGAATGCGGCCGGTAGCGGTGTCACCACCACCACCATCCTCCTCCTCCTCCTCCACCCTCTTCCTGCTGCTGCTGCTCGTGTCACGCTGGGCTAGGTGATGTCCTTGCTCTGTCATCCACCGTACGACCACCTCCCCGCCTTTGTGATCCCATTATCTACTTACTCGTGCATCTACTACGGCACTATTATTAGGGTGATGATGCGATTGGTTTAGATAGCGGACTGTCCACAGCTGTCGCTGATGTTGCACGTTGTTGTAAAAGCCTCTGCCGCAGTGAAATGCGCGTTCGATAACAGTAGGAACTTTGTGTGCGTGTGTGGAGATGTTATGTTGGTTGGGGGGGGATCTTAAAAGTTTGACTTCCATTGTGCTAACGCAGGTGTCTGAGAGGAGAGAAAGTGTTGGTTGAATTCTTTCAGGAGTGGCATTTGTGTGGAAAATCTTGGCACTTACCACGAGGCATGATTGTGAAATATAACTTTAACGTCTTGTTCGTATCTCTACAGGGCCAGGAATCATCGTCTGTGATCTGTGTGCTGCTTCTGTGGCGGGGACGTCTTTATCGCATCGACTCCCTGAAGACTTACAAACTTTATTTTGGGATTCGCTGCTGCTCACTCAGTTGGCAACAGTGCGCGTTGATGCCAACAATGTGACCTCTGAGAAATTTAAGAGTGTGATTGCATGGGGACAATTTCACGTTTGATACGCATTTCCTTTAATTATGAAATGCATATTAATTTACATGTAATAAATACCGTGTTATATATAAGGAAACGGAATAAAGGATTATTTTTTGGATATAGTTCGAGTTAAATTATTAATATGCCTCGCTGTTGAAATAATATATTTGTATCGGTTAAAACCATATTTCGTTAACCTGGGAATGTTATCTTTATTAAAATTACATTTGTGCTGCTGAGGTATTTCTCTTGCATATGAAGATGTCACGGACATTTTTAAAAATGCAAGAAGAGCTTTTAATGCTTTGTGGAAAAAAATTGGAGATGCTGGATCCAAAATCCGATATGACATTGATAATTATCCTTCAGAATATACAATTACTGTAATGTAATTCAGAGTGAGAGTAGAATGTGTTAGAACAGTCTTGCAAGCAAGATTTTTTTTAATTTGATCGTGATATTTTTTTTATTAACTGCCAACGTAATGAAATTTAAAACACAAACATTGTGTTTATAAAACACATGCACAAATGACAGTACAGAACTGAATAAAAATGAGCAGCAAGTAATGTAATGATGACTATGACACCCCTTATTTACCAAAAATGTATGAAGTCAACCCCATTATAGTTTCCAAGACAAACCCCTACACATTTCACACTAAACAGAGTTGATTTATGTAACTGAAACGAATACGGTGGAATATTTGTAAGGACAACAATGTAAACTTGTGTATACAGTATATATATATTTTTTTTTACACAGTTGCTGAGCACAGGTCCATAACAACAAGCGGAGGCAACAAACAGCAATATAAAAGTTGTAAAGTAATAAGTAAGCGCTAGCATGTTTCTTGAATTGAGTAAGATTATAAGAGCTTGGGAAAAGTTGAACTAAGGGAAGAATCCGAGAAGTGTTTGACCTGCGGTATGGTAGTTGAACACAGCATGCATGAGATGAAAGTCTGGTTTAGATGTAAGTCATAACCCTTTGAAAACTACTCTGATTATTTTAGTATCTGCAGTAATTTATATTTGCAACATGAAACTTACACATGCGACCATTACTTAATATCATATTAATATTTTTACATGGTAAAATAAAGTTTTCCCTTCAAGGTTTGGCCAATTTTTTATCTAAGTTTGACATGAAGAATTTATTTCGTCCATGAATACAAATCATTCAGAAAATGAGATGCTTTAATTGCTCATTCATCGTACATCGTTTGATTTTCAGCCAGCATACTCATTAAATCCAGGTTTTGTGACATTTAATAATCACTAGATGTCACCTGGAGGGGGTAAATTAAGGTTTACATTTGACATCAGATTCAATACGAATGAAGCCTTTTCAAACTAGGATGTCAATGTGAAAACCTACAGCTCTAATATGCTATTTTTAGTGTTTCATCATACTTCTTAGAGCCATTTGACGTCTTTAAATCAAGTACTACACATTTGTATGCAGGTATGTTCGCATACTGTATAAAGTATACTAATTCATAGCTTTGTCTATTCACTCCTGTATGAAGGCTTCACACCGTTTCAATGATGGCGGTTGTTTGACCATACTGCACGATGCCAGTCAGTATAGATTGGTGAAGGGGGTTCCAGGACCGGTTAAATATCACTCGCCAATGATATCAGCCCTGGTCAGTAATTTAACTTAAGTCGGCGGATTCATAGCAAAGTGCACTAACCACTGCCCCACCGCTATAAATGCGATGTGAAACAGAAAACCAGCATTACATTTGTTTACTGGTCTTAACCATTACAACATTGTTTTATAGTGTGCTTTTTCCAAGGCGCGTTACAGCAATTGTGCATAAGATAGTGGTTGAGATAAATTGGGGTTATTAAAAGTGGTGGTGTAGTTATGGTGACGGTAGAACAGGTGGGAGAGGTTATTGATGGGTTGGGGTACGCCTGGTCATAGCTTGGGGGCAGGGACAGGAACGAGCAGTCAGATTGGCTCTGGAGAAGAATGCCTTGCAGCCGGGGCGTTAAAGGTGACAATAGCTGCAATCCTTCGGCCAGTTATAATTGTTAAAGTTATCGCCGAGGATGCGAGAGGGCGTGTTAGCCGTGGTGGCTCCGTGTCTTGGTGAGATAACTTGTGCATGGAACTCATCACTCAGCAGTGGACACAAAAGTGACAAGAATACTATAAGGTGAGATGGCTACACTCAGACACC